CCCCCACCAGCTACCGTAAATCTGGACTCTGGACTGTAGCAGACACTGCTGCCTCTGCAGGGCAGCCAGAGCAGACAGGAAGTGCGAGGTCTCTTTTAATAAAACAATAAATAATAAATGTGTACTGTATTCTTCTTCATAGAAAAATAAGACATCCCCTGAAATTAAGACCTAGCACATCTTTGGGAGCAAAAATTAATATAAGACACTGTTGAAGGCCATTAAGACTCTCAGCCTTGAAACGGCTGAGAAGTCTCACGACCCAGGTGTCAGTATCTGCTGTTTGCTTCCGCTGCTTGACATTGAGACTAAGAAAAGGAACAAGGATGTATGCGAGTTCTGGGAAATCAGGATGGTTAATTTTCTCAAGGATGCTTGGTTTGGAAAAACATAGAGTTGTTGATGTGTATCCAATGTGCTTGCTTAACAATGAGAAAAATATAACCCTGGGTTGTTTCTGCATGTATAAAAGGAAGATGTAGAATAAACTCGGGGCTTCAGTATTCACTGTTGCCCTCCCAATACTTTGTCTCTCTCTTTTTCCTTAATCCTCACTCCCCCTTCCAGGACCGTTTGACTTGTCGGCAGGCTCCGACAAGACACTGTCTTATTTTTGGGGAAACGGGGTAGTTACCCTGAGCCAGTGCTTGGAAGAAGATGCTGGGCATAGCTTTGCTTTAGTGTTTAAATAGCCTCCTGGGCAGTGGTTCCAGTGTTTCATCCAGCAGTTATGCCTTCAGAAAACCTATAGCCTATGAGAATTGTAGATTCTGTTCTCTCTCTCTCTCTCTCTCTCTCTCACACACACACACACACACACACCTTTAGATCAGGATTTCCCCATGAAATCAAAATATTCCGTGAGGAGAACTGGGCACCATGCAGCTCTTCTGGTCTCATGGCAAAGGAGGTGCTTGTCCTTGGGGCCACACCTTCCACTTGCTCCTCCACTTCTACTCTCTCTGGTGAGCAGAGACCAGCTGCTGTGTCCTGGATGCCTGCTGGCCAACCTTTAAGGCCCTGGACACCAGGTAATGAATAGTGAGGGTGCACTGGACACGGGGTCAAGCCAAGTGTCTGGAGGCCCACGAAACACTGGCTTCAAGCCTCCCATCCAAGGGACTGACTCTTTTCCCCCTGAAACTACACCCAGCGCACAACTTTTTGCAATAACTGGCTGTGCGATCCTACCCATAATTGACATGACCTTCACCCATATCCCTTTCCTCAGTTGCTAGCAAGTGGAGGCCCTGGGTGTGATGCCCAGGGGACCAAAGCGAGAGCTCCCAGCCAGTGGCCGTGGAGGCAGGAGGCTGGAGAACCACATGGGGCTTCCCGTTGTGATAGACAGGTGGGAGAGAGACAGGAAGAGGCTGTCTTGCGGGGGTGGGGCAGTGTGGGAGTAGGAGTTGGGGCATGCAGCCTGCATGGGTAAGGAAGCAAGGGGCCAAATCCAGTCCCGCCTCCAGGTCCCCAGAGTCCCCCTGAGGAGGCCATGCACCAGCCCTGGAACAGCAGGCGACTGGGAACAGTGCTGCCCTGCTCCTTGGGTATTTCTCCAAATGGCCATAGCAGTATTTTCGGTCTTCCAGAAACTGCCATTCCCACAGACACCTCCTTCCTCCATGTATATACCTTTTACTTGAATCTGGCTGGGCTCCAGACTGCTCCAATCCATAGAGTGTGCTGGGATGATATGATCACGCAGCATGCAAGGCTGGCACGCCCTTACAATGCTCACCTTGAAATCAGCTGCCACGGTGTGAGGAGGAGTACCTGCATGTGTCCTGACCCAGCCTTGATAGAGTCTGAGTCAGCATGCAGTCCTGATGACCCTCCAGAGGATTCCAGACCCCTCTGCTCCCGTGGACAAGGACACAGGACAAACTGTCCCCATCGTGTGCTGGTCACATTGCAAACTCGTGGAAATCATTTCACAGAGTCACTGCATTAGGGACTGTTTGTTACACAGCCCTGGTAACTGCAGCCTGATTACTTAAGTATCCCCATGTGAGAGGTGACTAAGCTGGTCCAGGGGGAGCTTGTCAGCCACTCCTCCAGCTTGTTAAACAGACCCAAGTAATGTAACCTGACAACTGGCTAGAGCCTTTCCAGGAAGCGCTTGTCAGCAGCAGGCAACTCCAGCTGGAGAACAGTCCACACCCATGGTAAGGTAAAGAGCCAGCAGAGGGGCCCTTTGCTCAGACGGTTCCATTTCCAGCTCATAGCCGGTCCTGTTTCTTTTACAGCTAACCTCCCACCATGGGATCATTTTTTAAGCGAATGCTATGCACTTCATATTTAATTTGCACACATGTTGCTCTTTATCTCTAAGGAAGTCTAGTCTAGTCTTCTTAAACACGTGGTGTGTGGCACCCAGGTCCCCGGGGTGCTGAGAAGGCAGCCTCAGGTTGGCCATGTTAATCAAACGCCAGGTGAAGCGTCCAGTGCTTCTATCTGTGTGGATCAGCATTTGCTCTGGTCCTGCAGGGGGTGAGGTGCCGTCCAGCCAGCTTTCTGCGCTACTCAGCGTGATGCTGACCAGTCATGTAAGGAAAAGGCCCTTTTCTAAATCTCTGGACTCAAAGTCAACGTAACAAAAACGAGGACACCATTGGCATCCAGGGGGCATGGAAACTGGGCTCCCACTTTCATCCAGCCAACCGCCTGGATGTGAACACAGCACCCTGTGCAGTCATTTTTTGATGGAGGGACTCACTGGCATGCTGTCTTTTTTAAAAAAATAATTAAATCATTGTATTGGGAGGTTGTACAACTCTTATCACAATCCACACATACATCCATGTGTCAAGCAATTGCCCACAGATGGGCCCTGGGTCCCCACTCTGCACTCCCCCTCATTCACAATGCTATGCTTTTTTTGGTCTTTTAAAAAAAATCAATTTATTGGGGCTCATAAAATTCATCACAATACATAGATCAATTGTGTAGAGCACATCTATACATTTGTTGCCCTCATCATTCCCAAAATTTGCTTGCCTCTTGGGTTCCCGGAATCAGCTCATTTTC